CACACACACACACACACACACACACACACACCACGCACGTACGCATGTAATTAATAAAATCTGTCTAAGAAATATAAGAGATGACGGGTAACAGCGTAAAATTGCTCGAGTCATTTAGGTAGGAATGTATACAGCCGTAAACGCCCAAAACCACATCGGCACAAGATAGGAGTTGCGTAAAATATAAAAGAAAATCATAGAAACATCTTATCTCAGCGATGCATGTCAAAATAACATCCCCAATTATTATAGCCATGCAATTACAACTTTTTCACCAGGACACTATTATGTACGTAATTTCTAACTACAACAAAGCAAAATGCAAGCGTTTAGGGCGTAACCTCGCTTATAAAATTGCTTGGCCTCGCTCCTTCCTATTATAACCGACTTGTGCTCGCAGTGAAGGTAGATCGGTCTGGGGTAAACGGTGCGTTAGGAGTGTTCACACCACACCTCAGAAAGGAAGTTTATTCGACATATGCAAACCGCGATATAGGAGAACGATATAACGAAGTAACACTTTATACGTATGTTCTCGAGGAAATAAGTTCCTGAAACTATACATACTAAATTGGCGGTCCGGTTAGATTTGTCGTATCGATCGACGATTTGAGTTTAGCAAAGCGTTTTTAGGAATCCAAACCTTGTATTATTTTCAGGTAGACAACAGACTGCCCGAATGATTCATATATCAGCGATGTGGACGTGCTTCATTACGATCATAATTTGTCAGGTGAGTTTCTGTACATATCCAAGCAATGAGTAACACTAGCAGTTATATGAAATCATTTGCAAGTGTTTTTGAGTATAATATTTATAGCCGAATTCTTATTTGACGAATTGCGTATGGCATGAGATTCTGTAAAACGTCTTTATATTTACTACTACGCAAGTACGCAGGTCATTTGACAAGTTGCATACATATCAAAACGCATTCCTACACATCGATATGTTTAGTTATTGTCTAGTATTGTCTTATCATATACTGTCTTATATACTGTATTGTGTTTTTATTTATATTTTGCGTAATCTTCTGTTATAATGCAAATATAAATGTATACGTCAGAATTTGGCGGCGCGGAATCATTCTAATAGTTGAACATATTCAGTTGACATGTCACGTGTTAGCATTTGATTGGACGGAAACTCACGGAGTCGTCCCTGACGTCATATATGAGCCGTGCATGAGCGATCTACAGGTACGCTTTCAACCTCAATTAGTTCACAATTCATCTTTCCAAATCAATTCTCGTGCTCACCAAGTAATTATAACCAGCTCAGGGCATACGCTCTGTCAATCGACAGTAAGAAAATGGTTAGAGGATGGAAGGAGTTTGACTAGCAAAGGGGACAACCCGCTCTCCACGCTGGGATTCTGACGTCATTTATGATATGCAATGGTAATACCACCTTAGCTATCTATGAATACAACAGCGACGTCACCGTCTCAGATTGGAGATTGCGAGAATGTCTCCAGTCTATCTAGAGCTCGTGACTGGAACTGGTAGTCGTTCCATCTACTGTTAATCGGTAACATTATTTCATGGCCGTATGTTCTGATAATATCCGGAGTATAAAGAAATATAATAAATAATATAGAATAATCTTGTGATAATGCGTGTACGCTCGGTGTTGCAACGGTAATTAATACACATTAGTGCATCACGTGATAAATCGTTGAAATTCTATTGGATAACGTCGCAGGTACTATGAAGCAATAGTGCCCGCCTGAGCGGGCAATATTGCTTGCGCGACGCATTGTTATTATAACGCATTGTGTTCACGTCACGAATCTCCTGCGTCTGGGCGCCACGCAAGAATTTCGAATTAATGGCGGTTGTGTTTGTGTCGAGCGTTTTGTTACATCGAATGCACCGGCAAATTAGGGAGTATAAAGAAGGTATATAAGCATGAAAAGTAGATTGCATAGTCATGTGATGCACTAAAAACATTAATGCCCCCAACAACAGGCATTAATATATAAATATCTCATTACACTTGCCACTTTTCCAGATAACCTATCAAGATAAAGCAGTAGAAATGGGAAATGAATTTACACCAACGGAGGTAAGAATGTTCTTTTAAGCGTTATGTACTCGTTACGCGTAAAGCTCTAACTAGCTGAATTTGCTGCGTACATATCAGAATAATTAAATGAAATAAATAGTTATACTAAATCGTAAAATGTTAATAACCATATTTATGCTTCTCGTGCGGTTCAAACAAATTAAGCACAACTATTGCCTAACTGGCTTGTTTGTGGATGCACGCGACTATTGAACACACTTGCATGTATGGGAGCGTATCAGCAGGCCGGTCATTCATAAACGAAAACTAATCAAACTGAGAGTCCGCAGGGATTCTTATCCTATCATATGTATCACTCGATGGATAACGTCCAATTCTAGTTTGAATGCGCAAAAGTTGTCATAATTAGAAAACCGCGCATTTTAAACTTCAATCAGAAAGAATTATTAATATAATTTTTTTTGAGAGTTTTAAATTGGAAAAAACGTAACCGCGTAAGTGGTTAGTATATATTCCCTTATGGGGTTGAGCTCATAGAATTGTATTTTAATTTAGATAATTATTATTATTATCACAGGTTGCCATGGAACCAACAGTTCTAAGCTGGCCAACCACCTCAGATGGAGTATACACTCTCATAATGACAGGCAAGTCGGTTTTAGGGGGTGTATTCCAAAGCAGGGAAGTTAGATCCTTAAACTAAATAGTCAATTTTTAAGTTGCTTTTGTTTTTGCAGATCCAGATGCGCTTGCTAGAGAATTCATTCACTGGATTGTAGGCAATATTCGCGCCAATGATGTCAATCAAGGAGAAGTTCTAGCAGAGTACGTAGGAAGTTCACCGCGGAAAGATACAGGTACATATTTGATAAAACCTTACTATAAAATTACGGTAATAAAACAATTATCGGATCGGATTCCAACGGGAATCGGATTCCAATAAACCAAGATCATTTGTGCAATATCAGATAAATTGTTTGGAAAACTCTGGAAAATGCAGGCAGGATTGCCTAAATCAGCGTGTAACGCCTATACTACTTACGGGAGCTGTAGGCAATTAAATAAAAGGGTTATGTTCCGCCTCTATTTACACCAACTCTTTTCACGTCCAGGAACGCCTAGTAAAAGTAGAAAGGTTAGTTATGTTAAAGAGCATTTCGCGTATTATGCACACATTAACAGTAACATATTTGTGCATATTACATTTCTATTTCTGTTGTCGGCCTATCAATCTAACCAGTCTATATAACGAGGAGGCCTGCCATGTTGAGCATGTCTCCAATGGCCCGACCGGGACGGATTCAAACATACCCGTAACGGAATTTAACTGAATATGCGGCTTTTCCAGACGCATCCACACTGGCACGCACGCACGCAATCTCACACTCGCGCGTATTTAGGTAGTTGTTTTCTTCATGATTACAGGGATTGTAGTAAATTTTAAAACAGAGAAGTAATTACTTACCTTCTTATTCTAGGTCTGCATCGATACACGTTTATTGTGTACAAGCAACGTGGAATTGTTAACTTCGGTGACTGGGTCAAGGTGAACGCAACCTCATCTCCGGCTGAGTTGAGTCCACGTATCAATTTCAGCACACGAAAATTTGTAGAGGATTTCCAGCTAGTTGAGTGCCCATTATCGTGTAACATGTTTCAAGCTCAGAGTGAAGAAAATATGGACTCCCCCAAGAACGTTGATAAAGAGAAAACATTTGGTAACAACGTGGATCAGGAGAAGGGTCCCCTTAACGAACCCATCAATCAGTACAATGCTTCGACAGACCAGGATAAGAATAAGAAAGCAACCTCTTCGACAAAAAATGGGTACCAATGGATGGCTATGATTGATAAGAGACGGGATCAGCAATTTGACCTATATGACGAGAATGGAATACCGAAGGACGTTCCGTTTGATATGAGCGAGAATGGAAATGGAACTTCCATAGACATGTGGCAAAGTAAAAATGGAACTTCTATAGACATGTGGCAGAGTGAAAATGAAACTGCCATAGACATGGACGTTTCTGAAAATGACACTTTTACTGACATGGGAATGAATGTTAAAGGCAACTCTACTTACGTAGATAAGAATTGGGGAAGTGCATCCACCTACATGGAAGAGAACGGGAACAGCAATTCCACTTACATGGAAGCGAACTGGAACAGCAATTCCACTTACATGGATGCGAAGTGGAAAGGCACATCCTCTAACATAGAAGAGAATGGGTAAGGAAAATATCTTAGTATAAAAGAGTATGCGAGCATCAAAGAGGAAGACTCGCTTATCCAGCAAAACGATAATTTTTCCAACCGCAGATAATGGCCGATATATCTTCAATGACGATTCGATGCTGCTATCTCTGAAATGGTTAATCTGTTATATCTGAAGCATGCATATAACCTATAATTATAATATATATATATATATATATATATATATATATATATATATATATAGAGAGAGAGAGAGAGAGAGAGAGAGGGAAAGAGAGAGAGCGCGAGAGAGAAGGGAGACGAAAAAGAGAAATTGGGAAGGGAAAGATATAAATAGAGAAGGAGCAAGAAAAACGAAAGAAGAAGGAGAGTCACTTATATTGTAATATGTGGCTACTTGATTTAATCGATATAATGTACCTGTGAACTTAAAACAATTTATACTCCTTTTCAGTGACTTTAACGTTTCGATGGCGAGAATGAGGCTGTTTCCACCACGCACACCTGTGGAGCTGGAGGACGAACTAACACCGATAAATAGAACGATACTCGTAGACAGCGAAGAAAAATATTAATTGTATGCATATCCGTAAGGTGGATTAGAATAAGAGAACACAGAAACAGGTTATAATTACCGCAGATTTCATAGCGGTGTTTCATCGCTACTTAATCGATTCTCCGCAAAACAATTAATTTTACATATCTTGCAAATATATTCAATAAGGGGATCCGGTTTACTGTATATGTCCTTGTAGCAGTACTGGACATTGGCGAGCGTACGTGTTGTTACTATGCTACAATTTTCTTGTGAATGGAAGTGCGAGCACACTACAAGTTGTCACCCAGGGCAACCTAGCAGTAGACGGTCATAGCTTTGGGTGGCGCACAAAAGCGCATGTATACGTACTTCCCTCTGGGGAAACGTGGCCGTGCGATGCATAGATAACAAACATTTGGTTTTATTAGAAAAAATAATGTATAGATATTTCCAGTATCCACTTACTACGCACCTCGAAATAACTAGTTATGGAAGTAGGTGAAGGGTAAATGTTTTTAGATATTCATGTGATAAATTTGCAAACTGCATGTAATCTGGCAGGGCCACTAGCACGCTCAAATATTTGTTGGTATATATGAAGGCTGCACAAATCATGATATATGAATAAAGAGAAAATTAAAAATTAAAAACAATATTTTGTACTTAAAGTAAGTCTTTGAAAACTCTTATCTATCAATTAATGATTTATTTATTACACTCCATTATATTTTTTCTATTTCACTATATTTATATTTCTCTATTATATTAAATTGGTTTAGTTTGATCAAAAGGTCGTCCATAGCCGCACTATTCGCTCAGTCAAATACACACACACACACACACACACACACACACACACACACACACACACACACACACACACACACACACACACACACACACACACACCACCACCGCGCGCGCGCTGCGACACGCACGCACGCACGCACGCACGCCGCACGACGCACGTACGCACGCCGCAGCAGCCGAACAACACACACACCACAAAACCCAACCCAAAAAACATAAACCCCACCAAAAACACACACACACACACACACACACACACACACACACACACACACACACACACACACACACACGCACGCACGCACACACACACCGCCTTTTAAATGCCCACACAATCTCGCGTGAAGCTCGCGCCCACACTCGCAGGATGCACGTACCCGCGATAACAATTTTGCATCGTCTGCGCGCATGCGCATGCAGATGAGCGACGCGTGCACTTATCGTTCATTCATTATCGAGATCAATCATTTACGAAATCATTCGATTGGCGCCGAATCTTCAGGCGGCCGCTCTCCTCCTATACATATTGCGTACGAGTTGCCCGCTATTGGGGATTCTCATGCAAAGTCGCATGCAATTAGCAACATCGGACTGGAATTGTCGAAATCGATTTAGAGTGTCGCCACAGGAGGGGTCCGGACAGAGCTGTCGTCGTCGTCGTCATCATCATCGCCACTACAACAGCGTCGGACATTTGCGCGCGTCGCGTAATACGTGAACCGGTAATTGCGATCCGCGTACAGCTAGCATGCACGGAGGCTTAGCGCGTTCTCCATCTTTTTTATGCGAGAGAGAGAGAGAGAGAGAGAGCGAGAGAGAGAGAGAGAGTGAGTGAGCCGCGCCTATAACCTGCTGCACAGCGTTTCTCCTCCGCTAGTTGCGCTGTGATTTTGTTGTCCGCTGTAGAGACAGGTTTTCACGATACGTCGACGGGCGTGGCAGCAGTGTACTCTCGAACGGAGGCTATCGTCGCTGCTGCTTTTCCCAGTGCATCAGTGGCAGCAGTGCGTGTCAGTGTGTGCGTCGTAGAATATACTGTCGGCTCGCGGAGAATACAAGGAGGAGGTAGGTTTCGCGTCGGTTCAAATCTCGCTTGTTGTATGTCAACCCGCTCGTTGTCGTATGCATGCTGTGACTGTGAGACGCAGATGGGTGTTGCTTATGTTTGTTAAGACCTATGCTAAAAGCGTGTATTCTGTATATGTATGTGTATGTGTATAACGCGTGTATGTGTATTCTGTTCCGCTGCCGTTGTGTTTGAGTAGGTGTATGTCGTTTCGCTTTCTCGTCCCGGTATAACCCTTTTCTGTTGACGTAACACACCGTATAATATACACACATATTATGTTGTCTGTCATATGCGCGTTCGCCGTTGTGTTTAAATATCATACTTTAGTGATGTCAAAATATAAACATTCTCTCATGGTCGCGAAAGGGAAAATAAGGTGAAGTGACAGGTCATCTCTCGGTCGAATTCTGACGGACCCTCGTCACCGTAAGTCGCATTGATTTTTTAGCGGTTAAGGAACTATTGATTGCTATATCACAATGCACCACAAACTATAGGGGGGACCATTCCCCAGGCATAACATTCACGCAAATTTCACTCTATAGACTCAGAACTGCTCCCTCTCCCCCCGCCATTTATCAAAGACGCATTATTGAGGAATGGGAGAAAACCTTTCGTGTTTACACAGCGAGCGAATTATCAAGGGTTACGCTAGAGTGCCTTTCCGCATGCATTTGCGAAACCCGTGTGTGTCCCGATCGTAGGACAACTCGTGCGAGCGTAGTACGGTGCCATCGATCAACAACTCTCCTACGCCTCCCTGTCTCCCGCGGATGCGAGCGCATCCCGCGTATAGCTAGTGCTGTAGCTGACCTGAGAAACCATTGATACACGGATGCAGGGATGCAGGGATGCAGGGATGCAGGGGATGCAGGGATGCGGGGAGACAAAATATATCATGCATGCGTTTGACTAATCTGTGCAGCGAGCGAGCACGAGTGAGCGAGCGAGTGAGGATCGATACTACGTGTTAAGATCAAGAAATGTTAGAACGTTAGCCGATTATCCTGCTTAAATTTTATGATACAGCGAAGCGAGATGAGGTGTCGCCTTCTATGCCGCAATACATGGCGCATATATATATACATATATATATATATATATTACAGGGCGCGAAATTAGCACCGGCCCACCGCCACCGGAATATATGCTGGCAAATTATTTGGAGGGCCGATAACCTGAAGGATATCACGCCATAATTTATCAACATTTTACAAATTTGAAATCGAGAATGCAAGCATGAAACATGATATTGTGGGCTGGTAAAAAAATTGCTGTTACCAGCCAGCCCTCTGGGCCGGGGGAAAAAAATCTGTATTTCATGCCCGGTATATATATATATATATATAGCCTGTTATCGCCATTGCGTGAATGGTCGATAGCCTGCGGTTGTCAATAAGAGGTTGCTAATTTTGAAGGAAAAGAAAATCCTCTTAAGTCGTATAGGAAATTCCATACGTTGCTATGCATGAATGCGCACGTGAGTGCGCGCGTGCCAGCATGAACGTGCGCGCGTGCGTGTGGGTCCGTGTGTGCGCCCGCGCGTACGTACCTGCGTGCGTGTGGGTCCGTGTGTGCGCCCGCGCGTACGTACCTGCGTGCGTGTGCGCGCGAATGTCTATGCTAGTACTGCTGACATTCTACTGATGCGTGAATAATGTTTTCTATTAGTATCTCATTTCGAATTGACTACGAATTAATCGAATTAGTTGACGAGAATTTTACGTAATATACGTGGCAATTATCTTGATGGTTTGATGGTTACAATTTGACGGGTTGTACGCATTTTTTCCCTATCAACATTCGTGCTGCGTGCGTGCATGTAATAGATAATCGCCCAGAGCACTTTCAACTGATTACCTATACGCCCAGGAGATGCACGCAACCTGGCGTTCATTCGTATATTTCACTGCCAGGGCGTGTATGTTCTAGCAGATTTCACGCATGCGCCGATTGTCACCGGAAATCGCCGATCGCGGATATTTTGTGCAGAATTTGCTACCCATTTACGGCTTTACCGCTTCTAGTTTTTCCCCTACTCTACCCACACGTCCTCTCTTCCATTTTTATCTACTCCACAGTCTTCCTCTCTATCATTTAACCCCTCTTCTTCCTTTACCCCATCTACATCATCCACCTCCTCCCTTTACATTTCCCCTCCAATACGTTATCTTCCTGTTCATCGTTCATGTTTTACTCTCATCGACGTCCTCCGCCCATCACCCTTCCTTTCCTCTACTACCCTACCCCTAAGTTATATATAACAGAGGTTACAATACCGTTGTGCTGGTAAAACGCTATTAACTAATTGTGTGAAATTCACGATTAGAACAATAGAGAATTATGGCCCGATACATGGCATTATCATAATTATCACATTATTTTCTCAGCCGTGGCCGCTAGTCATGCTGTGCAACATTGTACTCAATTAAATTTTGTCACATTAGTAAACCACAGATGATGCCTGACGGAAAACTCTTGTTGTATCGGGCGTGTGTTGGGCAAAGTATGACACTGCAAATACGTATTATCGTGGTTACACAAAACAGGTTTTATGCCATGCGCGATGCCCTTAGTAGCGGCTTCAACCTACGAGAGATTTCCGTAAACAAAACTAAGTCGTCATACACGCACACGCCCGTAATCATGCGCACCACACACACGCGCGCACAGACACGCACGCACGCACGCACGCACGCACGCACGCACGCACGCACGCACGCATACACACACGCGCGCACACACACACACACACACACACACACACACACACACACACACACACACACACACACACACACACACACACACACACACACACACACACACACACACACACACACACGCACACACGCACACACGCACATATTATATGCTCCAATATACGTACTATTTGTCTTTCAGACTGAAGAGCCTGTAGAGATAAAGAAGATCATCAACACGAAATAACGAATCCGACAACATGGAACGTACTGCAGTTCTCATCGTTGCTTTCCAGGTAAATATATTCTAGTATCGATGAATAACCGGTGTTAGAAATATACCACGTGTATGATTACATTACAGCAGCGCTTGTGACGCGCCATGTGTCGTGTGTGCATCAAACATTTTATGAGAAGTTCGTTATATAATTATTCATTCTCTTCTCCCCAGTTGGTTGCGTTAGCATTGGCTGATGTGCCATGGATGCACGAAGCTGGAATAATCCCTGATATCATTAGTAAACCTTGCCCATCTACCGTATCGGTGAGTATATGTTATATGTTATGTATATGTTCGGTGGGTATTTATTGGCTCTTGTTATAATGCAAAGAGCCCCTCGGCATGGCTAGACAATTACGTGTGGCGTAATATTGGTGGTAGCACATTAACGCGCCAAAGCTGTATCAAATCAATAACGCCGTGAACTTGATCGCAATTAAATTCGGGCTCTAGCTGCTACAGCGATCTGCTACTCCGATAGGTTTCCTACGGGAACAAGTCGATGAGCGACGGCAACGTACTGAAACCGGAGGACGTGAAGAATAAGCCGAACGCCGTTCGCTGGGGAGCAGAAGCAAACAGCTATTACACCATCGTGATGCTAGGTGAGACGAGAGACTATATGCGCTCCCTCCCTCCCCGCTGATTAAAACACGCCGCCGTGTCGGATTCGTGTAGCCGTCGTAGTGCTTGTTAACGGGTCGCTTTTCTGCTGGTTAGGCCTACCATCCGTTGAACGTACTCAATATATATATATATATAGTACACACAATACACATACAGTATAATATGTATAGTATAGTATATAGAATGTATGGTAACTATAGATCCCGTTACCGCTCAATATAAAAAATAAAAACACACATAGATGTTAAAATCCAATTGCTTTCGTACACATGCATGCGACGAGCTGTGCGTAGAGTGGCCTGCCTTAATTGTTAGCGTCTATTTCCATAACGTGTTCTGTGAGTACATGGCGTATATGCTTCTTTTCAGAGTATATCATACACACATCATCAGAGTTAATGTATTCATGTTTCACACTGCGGTTCGTATTTATGCGCGTTCTGCATATATATTCGACATAAAAGAGCCACATAAACCTGTTTATTCAACCCATATCTAGGATCACCCCTAGGGTTAGTGTTAATAGCATTAATAGAGATGTCGCGCGTGAGTTCCATATGTTACTCTAGCAATATATGTATCATATAATATCGCCAACGATATGACTATATGCCGATTTGGATATTGATTTCACATTTATACAGAATCCTCGCTTTGTTAAAATTAGGACAATAGCCTCGTTCACACGAGACCTCGTATTTCTGAAATACGGTATTTGCGAAATACCGAATCTGAGACAAATACGCGGCCGAGCGTTCACACGCTGATTCGCGGCTCCAGAAATACGGTATTTGCGAGCTGCGAGCTGCTTTAAACAATCAAGCGAACAATGCGAAATAAACAATGCAATGCGCACCAACTGCCGATAACATACGTAGACTGGTCCGCGCTCGACAGTTCCACTCGCGTTACACTGGAACTGTCTAGCGCGGACCAGTCTATAAAATACGCGGTTTCAGAAATCCGGTATTTAGCGTTCACACGAGGAAATGCGCGGTCCAAGAAATCCGGTATTTAGCGTTCACACGAGGAAATGCGCGGTCCAAGAAATCCGGTATTTCTCAAGCACGGCAAATTATTCGGGGTCTGGGAAGCCTCGTATTTACATGAAATACCGGATCTGTTTAGATACCGTATTTCTTGGGCCTCTTATTTTGCCTCGTGTGAACGCTAAATACCGGATTTCTTGCTACGTGTGAACGCGCCTGTTGAGTATACCCGGTAATGGTGGCAGCGAGCGCCAACTTGTAATCACGCAATAATACGCATGGTTGACGTTGGCTTGTCCCTTGGTGAGAGCGCTACTAAAACCGTCTGTCCCATCGGAAATTCCATCGAGCCTAGATCTCACGCTGTCACGGAATCGTCACGAGGCAGAACACGGTACGATACGCCGATGACGACGGCCCTGCTAACGAAATTCCGTCAGCTGTCACGCATACGCGCCTGCTTACGCTCATTAGCCGTAATGGTGGTTGGGATTTCCACACGGGTAATATGAAGTCAGCGGTGATTTTATATCTTGAATGAAACGCCAAATACAGTACGTCGCCCCGCCTATATGCGTCATCGCCTAGCAACGGCTTATTATGGAACAGGTTGTGAATCACCGTGCAGCAGCAAAGGATATTTATGAGAAAAAAATCATTTCAAACTGGAAATATTTCATTGGTGCTATGTTGTGTGGAATGGATATACGGGTCTCGCACCATAAAATCGTCAAGAAAGCACGCTTACGACCACCGCCAATTATCGTCGCAGTGAAGCATATATACCCTGGAGACGACTAGTGCAAATACATCCTGAAACTATTTATTGTATACGGCTTTTACTGTATTACAAGTCGCTTGAAAACGATACTTGCCTATGCTAATACATGTTAATTTTAGTAAGTAATAATATATACGTGTAATATTTTAAAAATCCGATGATAGCTAGGTACATTAATTGCTCGTCTACGTTTCATGTTGAAGTGGTGATGTATTTACAGATCCAGATGTCGACGCAGAAGCCAAGCCATCTTTCCTGCACTACTTATTTGGAGACATACCTGCAGTCCGTATCACGAAAGGCAAAGAGTTGGCCGCATACATGGGCATCAGCCCTCCAGAAGGAACAGGTATGACGTCACATTAGCAGTGGCGCCGACGCAAACTTTGCCAATATTCGCTGATTGTTTTGCAAGCGCCTATAAATATTTAAACTTCGTATATGCCTTTAATTTAGAAGTTATTACACCTGGTGTTGTTGTTCGATAGCATACCGGATCGATAAAGGTTCGCAGCAGCGCTCTGGGCTTTCTGCAGTATTACAGAGATGAACTCAGTATTCCTTCTCGCCGGGATCTACAATATATGATAGCTGTATTGATCTCCACTTGTGTCGTGACATTATTAAAATCAATCATCCACTGCTCATGGTTACACGTAATTCATAAGCTTAGATCAAACATATATGCGCGAAATGTCACACTAACATATCAAATGACAGCTTATTAACGGTTTGCGATTTACCACTTTCAGGAATGCATCGCTACATTTGGCTCGTCTACAAGCAGCAGGGCAACAATCAATTCTCCAGCTACAAGAAAATCACCAGAGATTCTCCGCCAAAGGAGCGCGCAAAGTTCATGGTTTCCGACTTTGCCACCAAGTACAAGCTGGGCGACCCGATCGCTTGCAACATGTTCCGCAGTCAGAATGCCGTGGACGCCGCAAAGTCGGCTAGCCCGCGAATCACGGGACTGCCACCCGCGATGATGCTTATTGCAGGGTTGGTGGCATTCTTATTTCTCCAGCGCAATTAACCTTTCTCGCCGTGCTCTTCTTGTTCAGTCGAAGTTGTGTGCATGCGTCACGTGTCTTGATAGAATACCCATAAATTTGTAGTATACGAGTAAGCGTGTGCACCTTACACGCGGCGGCACAATTGCTTCATATGAGGTAAATTAGCGGGTATTCAATGATGCGATTCGTAAAAGGGGAAAATATTACGAACAATATAATAAAACTATGACGCGTTTAGGCATTTGATACGCGAGATTAAGAGCAATTGGAACATTTACCCCGGAAAAGGGGCATCGACTGTGAGGAAATAACACGGGCGAATTAGGAAGCACACAAAATTTGAGCATAAATAAATTTGAAGTAATTAGTGAGCACACTAGGGGTGCCTACTGTCACAGGCACTTGGAGCGTATCAATATAAAATATAATGCTAAATAAATACGAAATCTATTTACTACCAAAGTTTAATGTTTCTCTACTCTCTTTCGCCTATTATTGCCGACAATTTCCTGTAAATGCCGTGCAAATGCTCCTCTGCAACACACATGTACACCGCGCGCACGCTGCCGCACACTGACACATATAGACTATTATACATATGTGTCAGTGTGCGGCAGCGTGCGCGCGGTGTACATGTGTGTTGCAGAGGAGCATTTGCACGGCATTTACAGGAAATTGTCGGCAATAATAGGCGAAAGAGAGTAGAGAAACATCAAGACTTTGGTAGTAAATAGATTTCGTATTTATTTAGCATTATATTTTATTGAAACGCTCAAATTGTCGGTGCCTACTGTAATATCGTGCTCGTCTCTTAAAGCAACGCGCGGTGCAAGTAGAGTTACCGTTACACATACATTGACGTCAATACTTTTAAGGTAAACAGAGCTGACGGAGTTACGCCAGTGAAAATGCATTTACGAATTATTAAGCATGTCACCCCGTTCATGCAATTTTTATATAGTTGTCATAAACCACATTTCCTATAGATTTGTTCAAGTTTTTTATTGCTCGTTCATCACATATTGCCATTAACCTCTACCCTAAATCACGCATGGCGCGGGCAATCTTCCGCGGCCGCTTATTGAACTCTTTTCCTTCTCTGTCTCGCATATCAGTTTAGAATAGGTACCATGAGGTAGTAGCCGGAGCGTGAAACGGACTCGCAGATCTTTTTGTCAACCAGCTGTAAGCATGCGTAATAGAGAGTGTTTACGTTGTTTGCTGTCGCAGATTCAGATGTACCCTTGAAGGTTAATGCAACGAAGTAACAAGTAATTGGTGGTAGATAGATGGTGATCGAAAACCTTAATTTACAGAGAGCAGCTCATTATTTGAACTTTGGGATCTAAATACAGATGGTGTCACTCTCCGATCCTCGTTACCTTAGAGGCACCAAACATGGGAGGCTCCATGTTAGAGAGAGACAGACAGAGAGAGCGAGAGAGAGAGAGAGAAGAGAGAGAGAGAGAGAGAGAGAGAGAGAGAGAGAGAGAGGGAGAGAGAGATTATAAGATAGATAGATAGATAGATAGATAGAGAGAGAGAGAGAGAGAGAGAGAGAGAGAGAGAGGGGGGAGAGATAGATAGATAGATAGAGAGAAAGAGAGAGAGAGAGAGAGAGAGAGAGAGAGAGAGAGAGAGAGAGAGAGAGAGAAAGAGAGACTATAATGCCACATCTCAATCCGAGACTGCATACCATTGTAGCGTTCTCCATACATTCGTCAAAACTATTTGTATATATTCAGAGTGCACACTTAAGCAGAGCCATTTCTCGTTCGATGACACCACGCTCCATGCGCGGCACCATTTGTACTATACGTTGGCTTTTCTGTTCGTGGTTTACAGTAACGTAACGTGCGCATTCGCGAAAACTCTATATTACTAACTCTCACGGTGCAAGGCATTAAACAATTAAACACCAGTTCCGCGACACAGCTCACTCGGCTACAAGTTATATGCTTCCTACTCGTGTATAATTTACATTGCAAGCGCCGAAACGAAGTTGTTGACTTTGTGTTGTTCGCACTTGACACCACGACTGCGACAGCGATAATGCGTTTGAGTATCATCAACGTGTATAGGCTTGCACATCTGTCGGCAACACGCACTTCAGGCCATCTGGCTGGCAAGGTGACGCTTCTGGTTTTGCCCATACTGTAATTATTGTCGGCGAGCTTGCGATGGCGCGGTCGCAGTGTAACAGACAACACGAGCTCTTACGAACTTCTTTATTGCAAGACAGTACGTATATAACCGTACGTAACATACTTGCATTCGTTTTCTAAGAATGTTTAAAAAATCTTCATTCCTCTACCCGTCCCTTGTGCAACATCAAAAGCTCCCTATAGTATCGTATCGCGTCGCTACTTTTATCCTCTTTCACAGACCCTCGGAGAGTTGCATAAACTGCCATGGGGGCCCCTCTTGTGCTTTGCTGAATGGTTATGACGTGAGGTGCTACATGCGCTGCATGTGTCATACCGAAGTTCGGTTGTGCGTTTGCAAAACACGTTAGGCGTGTGAACATATTTCGAGAAGCAACGCGCGCCTTTGTTGACGATTTGGTCGCATATGCTGATGTGAGCACCGAACGTCCATAACTCTACAGTGAGTGGGAAAAGGCTGGCGATGGGTTTACGTATGCCGGGTAAGAGCGGTGGATGTTGGTGATGTACGTAATACAAATAGTTATGTTTGGTGACGTAGATAGCGAACGTAAATGGCTGTGCTAGGATAGAATGAAATTGAAGATGAGCTTGATTTACCAAACTCGGGTAATGTTTTATTCTCTGAACAAGGATGTCTTCGACAGTATGTTCGCTTTACTTACCAGAAGGTGGCATTGAGAGGGATATTCGTCCGTTGATGTTCTCCGAACTTCGTCGAGATGTCAATGTTCCGTGTACCTATTCTATGAGCTCCGTGTAGACCGATCGTCTCGTCTATTTGCAAGGCCAATTTAATGATGTTTTAGACTTGCGAGCAATCTAGTCCCATCGTAAAATTGTGCTTACTGTTGTTGTGATATAACTACGTTAATTCTATAAATTCTCTAAGTGTCGTTGCTTTGTGTAGCTCAATGAAAATGGTGTGTTGTAGGCACGTTAACATGGCGGCTATTTTGTTACCTGGTTAGATTATTAGGTATTTGATTTTACAACTATTTTCACTGGTGTGAAACAGTAATCATAATATACAATGTGACCTTGTGGTAACATTAGGCTTTATCTGTGTGGTGTGTTGTATTTCAAGAACTTTGTTCGTCTGTTATAGAAAGGCTTTTAAAAAGAATGTAGTAGAAAGTTATAATTTCTGTATATCACCTTTGACAAGTGTAGAGTAATAACTACGTAATCACATGTAATAGCCACGCCTCATTGTCTACCAATTCTGTACTAGAGTTTATATATTAAACACGCTCACGTCTTTATATTTTATGCAAGTTACAAGTTTAAATTTTTACTCGAAACTACTGTAAGATTAACGACGACAACTGCTACATTTATAATATATACCAGCTCAAACAAATGGATGATACCTATACAAGCTGTAGATATGGATAATAGATAGTAACACTGTATGACACGTTAGCATCTATATATCTTGGTATGTACGTTTAAATGTATTGATGTTGACCGAGTACACCTTCGATGTGTTTTATAATAAAAAATGGAAAAATGTGCATGCACATTTATTGTATTCGTTTGCTTTATGTGGCCAGTGAAAAGTAAAATTCTTAATTTTCAATGCAAAGGTGGTTCATATGAGGCAAACCTAAAAACAAGTAGACATTTCTATTTCATTCTTTAAAATATACTCACCCGCGAGCAAAAACGGGCAGTTTTGACACGTACACTAAATAAAAAATAAAAATAATGTTTTAAACGGAAAAAAATAGATCTTGCGTTATAAAATTAAAACAAGGGTTTGAGATGGAAATTACTTTCAAATGAGTTTCATGAGTCGGTGATTAATTTAGGTTTGAATATCAAATGCAGGACGTAAACATAGCTTATTCATCATACTATATTCATCACGTTGGCATACACCTTGTCAGCCGCATTGGCTTCCGTCAGCAGTTATCGTTGAGAGCCGATCTAGCCCGAACTATGGGGCAGTGCACATACAGCGTATAGTGAGTGGGCCGCGGCATCCCACCACTCCCCGGACACATTGCTAATGTATAGCGGCAATGGCGAGTCGCTCGTTGCCTTAGCCACCAAATAATGGGCTGTTCAACCGATCTCACGCATTTCTTTTTAAGGAAAGGATGAAGCGCATGGCAAAATGCAATCTCAAAATTTACCTTGGGTCGCAGCACCCCGCCACTTAATTGTCCCTATTCTCATGTGTAAGGGCGAAATGGCGCGCGTGTCGCTCGTCGGTTTAGGCACATAAAACAATGACTTCCGGCTGATCTTCCGCGCCTAAAAAAGACGCATGCCTAATTGAGATGTGCATGGCAAAATCCGAACTCAACATTTCACGTCGGCTGCAGCATCCAGCCATTTCTTCGCTCCACTGCTGAAATACATGAGCAATCGTGCGCAGATCGCTCGTCACCTTAGCCACCCAATACAATGATTTCCGGTCAATCTTACGCGCCTAAAAGGGGAGAGGCATGCCGGAAGACGTTGTGCATGGCAAAATCCTAACTCAAAATGTCACTTCGTCTGCAGAATCCCGCCATTCCCCCAAGACAATTTTTTCGGCCGATCTTACGCTCTTAAAAATAAGAGGGAGATGCACGAAAAAGATTCTTATGGCAAACCCAATCTCAAGACTAGGTCACAGCATCCTGCCACATCTCTGTGTCTATGACGAAATATCGGGGCAACGGCGCGCGGATCGCTCGTCTCCTTAATCACCCAAGACAACGCTTTTCGGCCGATCTTAACCGATTAAAAAGAGAGGTGCATGTGCATGCCCAAAAGAGATTCAAATTTCACTTGCAACGTAGCAACCCTAACCCTAACCCTAACCCTAACCCTACCCCTATGCTAATGCACGAGGGTAATAGTGCGCAGGTTGCTCGGTGTTAGCTACATAAATAATAAAGGAACGAACCACGATATTCGCGAGTCTCCACCGTCGCGAACATGCGGCCCGCGCTGGCATCCGTGCGCGGAATTTTTGCAGATTAAGTGTCGTTCTTCTAAAAATAAACACGCCCTACCGTTATACGTAGCAAGCAGCGGCGGATTTGTAAAGAGGGTTACACATCGGCAGCAGAGACGACGGCTGCATCGCAATGTATCGCCTGGCTATCCTCTCGGACTGTGGCAGCGCTGTTCTCGGCTGACTCACCCACCCTCACCCTGCGGTTGGGTGGCTTACCTCAACACGATTTTTTCGTCCCGAGTAGACAACTTACAGCTGTGCGCAGTGCATCGCGGTATTGCTTCCCAAGGAACGTGGTAGTGTTCCCCGACGTCTCTAATAGCCACGCAGCTTCGACCCGCACATCCCGGCGGGCCATCAGTGTTCCGCTACAAGCCGTGGATGCTCGGCGCGATTTTTTGGAGCGGCGCGCGAAGCATCCAGCGGATTTTTTTTTTACTTTTAACGTAAAATCGTTGTTGTGAAGCCCTGCATAGTAGCGTGTGCACTTGTAGGCGCCCTTGCGTTGACGACGCCTCAGGACCACAAACAAGTGCAACTGACGTCGACCGTGGTAGGGATATATACGTGCATCGGTGGTCATCGGCATCATGGATATTAGAAAGTCGTCGATCTTCAACATCGCCCAAGATGCGCAGGTGTCCATTAACTTGCAGGGACGGCAGTCGTTTGAGCAGACTGGCATGGAAGCCTTCGGGGTAAGTGTTTATTAATTTATTTATTTATATTTATTTATTTATTTATTTATTTATTTATTTATTTATTTCTCTCTCTCTCTCTCTCTCTCTCTCTCTATATATATATATATATTTAGATGTAAATATATATATATATATACCCTTTTAAACTATTCGCTTACATAGTTAGAATAACTGCATTTGGTGACACAATATCTGTTAATTGTCATTTCCGTCTGGTTTGCGATACAGTTCAATTCGTCAACGTAGTGCTCTTAGTTCACTTAGCGTTCACAACTGAGCTACAGTAACAGCTGCCGCGCAGTAGCATCACCTGCTCCCCAAGAGAAAACCGAGGTGAAACTGAGGTGAAACACAGCCATGGGCGCCGAGAGAAAGAACGAATGAAAACGAGAAAGATAGCTCGGAGAGAGGCAGCGAGAGCGTACGTGTGTCGGGAGGAGTGATTATTTGTTAATCGCCACAAATTTACAGCGACAAATTGATACAGTGACGATTTCGCCAGCCAGTATAGTATACACTCTCAGTTTAGTTCGCAGCGATCGACTAACATGACGCGATTCTATTAGAGGTTCCACAACGACGATGTTTACCGCATATACTGATTGAAACTCGCAGTTCTCACCCGTGAAAACTCAATCGCAGAACAGCCGTTTACCCCCAAGAATTTGGTAGTGTTGCACAGCAGGAACATGACTACTGGACGAGTCGATGTCGGCTTGTTGATAGTAGGGTGGCAGTGGCGGGGTGGTGCGTGTATCGTAGCATCCCCGCCTTATCACTGTGTGATGGAAGCAGCATATCGCTGCGCTTTTATTGTACCAACGAAGATTCTTGAGAGAGATAAATGTGTCTTAAAATAAATATGTATGTGCGTCGAGTCGCCTGTTTATTTGTTTTGTGTCTGATCATATTTCCGCGGGGACTGAACTAGAGCTACTGAAGGAAACATCCCTGCTATGAATCCCTCTGCCGTCGGCGACTTATCTTTCTACTAAATCTCTCTTACAACATCAATCACTATTAATAGAGCAAAGGGGTCGACGACGCTGTGTGTGTGTGGGGGGGGGGTCATTCACAAATATGTTCCCATGCATAGATCTCGTTATGCAATTCAGAAAGATTTGCTTATAGATCCTGTCGCCATTATGCGAGGCGCCGCTGATGTGTCTTCATAATTTAAACTTAACGTTAGACTGATTTCATCTACGCGTACGTACTGCAGTATAACTGAAGATGAGTCAGACGACTTGTATCAAAACCAATCCGATCTTCCACTGTATTTATTTGTACGTAGACGTTATGAAACTATTTGAGTTCCTGTGAATGTTCGGGGCGAGGCTCCGATGACGACATCCCGGTTAACCACAACCCATATAACCTAGCGTACAACTATGCCGTGTGTGTGCCCGTCCCACAATAGGCACAAGTCTCACAACACATGCTGCGGCTGACGTGCTTCTGTTTTGCTTCGATATTTTTGCCGTCGACGGCCGTCGTAGAGTAGTAGCGTGCTTGCCACGCAAGGCTGCACCATAATCAGAGCAGCACGCTGACGCACATGTCTCGGCTTTGCGATCGTCATAGCAACCAGAGGAAGAGCGTACAGCTGGCTTCCCTCGCAAGGTTCCCTATAGTGCGCGGAAGGCCTCACGGGGTTTACATTTAATCGGGATTTTTTGCGCAATGACACTGCATCACTGCATCACTGCATCACTGCATCAAATCTCTGTGTTGGATATGTACTATGATGACCTAGATATGTGTGTATTCATCTGCGAAAATTGCGTATTTCTGTGATCATGATCGATTATTGATCCGAAAGGGGGGAAGGTTACCGTGTCAATGTTCAATAGTTTTTCCTTTCGCAATATTCTAACACGGGATGGTTGTATTTTTACTGTGAGGATATGTATGCTATGGATAGCGTACTGTAGCTTCTTTATGAGACACAGAGAAAACGGAGAACGGCGCCACCGCCTTTGCTTAGCTACTTCTGTCATGAAATTAAAACAAGCTGTTGAAACACTGCGCTAGCGCCTATCTAGCATGGCTCCGGTACGGGTGCGCTTGATTATAACTGTCATTTCAATTTATGCGGATCGCGTGAGCAGGAATGGCGGAATTCTCTGCGGGTTGAAAAACACCGAAGCCATCAATTAACACAAAGATGTAAAACTTTGCAAGAATTACTTTGTGTTTCCCATCTACTTGTCTCAGGACTTGTTAAGCAATCGGTTTCAGGGTTAGACGACTCACCGGTAGAAGCAGAGGACGAAGAAAGAAGAGGATAACGGGGACAAGGACACGGAGGGGGAGGGGGAGAAGAAAGAAGAGCAAGGGTAGAATAAGAAAAAAGGTCATATGAGTAGCAAATACACGCTGTATAAAATATGGATGACAAAATATTGCAATTTGCAGTGTAAACGATTAATTCCTGCACCATAGAATACTGTACTTAATGCTAGGGGCACACGAGCGATTTTTTCGAGCGATTTTGAAATTCGCGGCGATCGGGCGATAAAAATCGCTCGTGTGCCCCTACCATAAGGTTAGATGAATGTTTATTGCTCCGCTTTGCCACTTGGTGGCGGCGCAGGGCTGAAAATGGCACGTATCTGTTAAAGTTATTATAAGCCACACGCTGCAGTGCTGTGTGCGTTAGTCACTGTGTTGTGCTATATCGTATTTTAAATTGCTTTTCTTTTAAATTTCTAATAGAAAATTGTCACTATGCGCCAATGTGAAATGTATTTAGAGAAGCATAATTAAAAAAACGGCACTGCTCTATTCTTTGGAGCCATCACGATATAACAATCAAAATTAACTTTAATGTGAAGTGAAATAGAGTCGGCTGGCATAGTCAGTTGCATATACCGTTTAAATATAGCCTCAATACAATGCATATCACATAACAAAAAACGTTACGTATATATTTTCATACACAATGTGTGCAGAGTACGATTCTCCAGACCTGACCTCTATGTATGGGCGCCCTCTATCGGTCAACGTAGCATAATGGATCATGCCACTTGCTCTCTAGTAGGGCAAATGAGTGAAACAAGGAATCAGGCTATTCTTATACACAAGAGTCTGGTACAGACGTTAGAATTTTTTGTGGGTATCTTCATTTATCCAGCCTGGTGTTTCTATGCGTAGATTAAGATTACGTGGTTGCTAACATTGAATGTGTGAATCCAAAGTGTATCTTTTCTGTAATATGTAGCATATATATAATATATATATATATATATAGAGAGAGAGAGAGAGAGAGAGAGAGAGAGAGAAGAGAGAAGAGAGAGAGAGAGAGAGAGAGAGAGAGAGAGAGAGAGAGAGAGAGAGAGAGAGAGAGAGAGAGAGAGAGAG